TAATTTTTCTTGACTTTTATCGAGAGTATTCTTAGGTAACTTTTGTTACCAAGATGTAATTAATTATAGGGGCTTGCCCTTATAGGAAGCTTTTCCCGAACCCAGCATAATATAAACCCTATTTAATTCCTTATATTAAATAGGGGAACTTGTCGGCCAATACATTGGTTTCGCAGACCAAACGGATGTCATAACTTTCTTTAGTTTATTTGATCGAGCATCACCCTCAATTCTTGCGTTCATCCTTCGGGATAGATACAGGATTTGAGGTAAAACGCTCTTTCATTTAAACTATGAAAATTATGAGGTCAGTTTGACTTCATCTTTTTTTTAAAACTAAATTTTTTAAAACGTCCTTCCGAAGCGGGCAACGGGATTTCAATTCCGATGACCGACAGCTTCTTACGGGCAAACCCCACACCAAAAATAGTGCCGACAATCTAATAGACTAGCAGGCACGACTAATCCGTGGAATCCTGAGAGGGCTATTTCTACCTATTTAGGACTTTTGGCTAGCCCCTTTGGGCCCTTTCTGTACTTCTTTATCAAGTCTTGTAGTCATCGTATAGGCCCTCGTTAAAGGGTGAGTTACTTGTCGGGTTACAGTGATTCACCCTATTCCTGATAGCTTAGTGATGCCATGGAAACCAGTTTTTCCTCCTTTTGAAACAACATAAATCACATTTAAGACATTATTAAGAGTTTTCCTAGGTTATCTTAAGCAAACATAACTTATATTATTCATAGTTTTCCAATATATCCCCCAATATGTAATTGATCACGATAATATGTCATTGTGGGAAGCCTCTTAGACCATAGAACAAATAAATTTAATTTTATAGTCTAATTTGATTACGAATATCTTTTTATAGGATCTTCTCATATATTTACTCAAATAGAGCATGATCTTTTTACTTTGAACCTCTCTTCTTAGATTTATGGTACGAGAAATTTTCTATATAAATAGATTTTTAATTACTTGTTTTGTTTCATTTTAGTTGTATCCACTTTTAGACTTTCCTTTCTTCCTTTGTTTTTCTAAGAGAGAATAACCTAAAAAGGGAATCTAAGAAAGAACACTAAGAAAACCATTTAGATAACAAAAAAGGAAACTGATTTGGTCGTTAGTGTGTGTGTGTGCGCTTGCGTGGGCGGGCAGGTGGGTGGTCGCCCACACGGTAAGAATCAAATCAGTTCGTTCAAGAAGATGGTCAGATGGTTAGACATTTCCTCCTATACTGAAAAATCCCATGCTCTGAGCTCACCGATCCCTCCCAAAAAGAAAAAAGAGCCCAACAAAGCTACATGCATAATTTTTTTTATATCATTCAGTAATCAAAATATCTTCATACAAATTTTCCTTCTGAAAATGGACAAAAAACTATAATATATATATATATATATATATATTAAACAAATCACAGTTGCAAATTAAAACTTAATAAATCATAAATATAAAATTTCAATTTAGAACTTGTTTCAATCACAGCACCAGTTGTGAAGTTTGCAGTATAGAAGCAATCAGCGCGGCCAGCCCCTCTGAATTCCAGCTTGGAACCCTTGTGTATATGCTGCATTCTTCAATATCATCTGCAAGAGTTTGTCAATCAACTGCCTCAGATTAATAGCTTATATAATCTGCAGTATAATGCAGGCTTTTCTATTTTGAATAGAATGTTTGCTTGAATTCTTTTAGGTTCAATTTACTCTTAATTTTGTGAATATATAGTCAAAATGATCATCATCACAGGACTCTAACAACATCAGAATCATCTAAATTTCTGTGAATTTGGGAGATTGAATAATGTAGGCAGGCACGAGATGCACGACCAAGAGTTGGGACATGGTTGTCCATCATCGTCGTTGCTCCGACCAACCAAACTCTCGCCACTTTTCATTCACAAGCAATTGATCCACAACCCTAAATCAATCCGACCGTCGGAATTTTAATCCATCAATTTCATTGGACTCGTAATGTGGCAATCGTTGCCAACCTTGGGCCAAGGAGGATTTTCAAGCTAAGCCGAAGTGTGGGATGTGTGATCACCTACCGGCTAGGGGAGAACACGATCTAGACCATTCACATTGGTGGCTGGCCAATCATTATCGGCGTTCTCGGATCTCACCTCCTTCACCAATATTCAAGCCACCTAAGGGCTCATTTGAAGGGCAGCTTGCCTCCTTTTCATCACAGAGAAAGCCGCAAGTACGCCCGTTGTTCGTTTGGCAGATCTACTTCTCCGTAAATGCTTATGTCGGAACGGCATTTATCATCGTTTTGGGATCGCAACATCTCCCTCCTTAAAAGAGAGGAATTGCCCCAAACACGTCTCGTCGCTTCATGAGTCAAGGCCACCCAAATACCCGTCCTTTTATGAGAAGGATTATCCCCACCATCTCTAGTCGCCCGCAGACTTTAGTTAACCTAATTCTCCATCCTATTGGAAAAAGATTAAGGCTTGATAGGTGCTCAAGTTACTCCATCATCCAGAAGACTATTATGCCCATCTCCGATGCCTGTCCGCTCCAAGGTCCCCAGTTTTCTATTCTTCAAGGGAGGGCCTTTCTAACTTTCTGAACTTATTAGTCAACCATAGAGAGTGAAATTATCCCTCCTTCCAAGGAGCAAATATTACATACTTTCTCCGCATATATACAGAGAATGCTGCAGATGCACATGATCTCGTTGTTTTTTTTTTTTTCCCGTGCATCTTCACCGTGATCGTACATATGTTTAAATAACCTACTGATTTCTTAATGCCAAGTTCCCCCTCCATCCAAGAAATAAGCTACCCTAATCTTCTCCTCTCATTGACTCCCAACCGTCGAGCAACACCATTCATATACATCGGCACGAATGCTATCAATGGTAGTTCAAGTTGGCACATTCTACAATTTCTGCAGATGCATTGCCCTTTGAAATCCAGAGCAAAGTAATCCAAATGTATTGAAATTTTCACATTCTAATCCTATCAAAGAATTTAAGAAGCACGGATCAAGCCTTCATATCTCGATATTGTTTCCCAATGACCATTGAATAGCAAAAAACTCAAGACACAAAGACCAAGGATTTGTACCATTGGGACTGTCTCTCTATGAACCTCGGACTACAATGGATGTGTTTTATGTAGGATTGCCGGCACCTCATTATTCTCCTCACTTTTTTTTTAACTTATAACTATTTTATAATACCTCTAGGAGATGTATATATACTTCCTTTTTGTACAAAGAAAATAATAAAATTTTTGAAAATTTTTCCATTATTTTATTTTCTGCAAATTCCCTTGTCAATTTTTCTACACAAAATCTGTCTCGTGTGCTTTGCATTTCGAGTTTTATGATTGTGTGTGTGAACCTCATTCAAAGTTGAACAGACAAAATTTTCTCTATCATAGTGATGTTGTAACGCAACAAAAAAAAGAAAAAAAGAGAGAGGCCCATTCTATCATCCAAACAAACTACTATTATTTGATGTCTACATTTCCTACTACAAAAAACAGAAAAAATGTGGAATAGAAAATAAATTTTAGTTTAATTTTCAGCTAAGACCGGCTATAATATCACATCTACTTTTCCTGCCTCAAAAGAAAATACAAAGCAGAAACAGAACGAAGGCTTGAAATGTGCTTGGAGGGCTTCATGCCGAGCAAAGTTAAAATCCATTTGAATAGGCATTCCAAACAACCCCGCTGACGTCACCTAAGATGGTTGTATCCAAGAATTTGGGTGGTGCTCCAGCTGTATCTCTCTCTTTAGATAGTGATTATCTTCCCTATCCGCTTCCACATCCTCCACAAGTCGCTCTCGGTCGCCCTCCGTTGCTGCAGCAGCCCCCGCACAGTCGTCGTTGCTGTTCTCGCTACAGTTTTTCTCATTCTAGCCACATGTCCTCGTTGTCGCCGCCCCAGTCAGTCGTCCTATTGCTGTCCTGCAGTTCCCTGCATCTCTCGCCGCTGCCCACTGGCATTGACTCTCGCTACCACCATCTGGAACAACTCCTATTTACTGTTCACATGAAGTTCCAGACATCCAGCCACCCATTTCTTGCATTCCATCTTGCTGTCATTGCCGCAACTCCTCACATTCGCTGCCGTCGTCCTCCTCCCTTGCCACCGCATATAAAAGCCTCTCCCAGCCGCTTCCTTGCTGTCCAACACCCTCATTCTCGCTACCCCCGTCTGAGACAGCAACCGCACTTGCTGTACCTGCAGCTTCATACCTCCCCCTCACGGTTATCCACACACCTTTGCTGCCGTCACACCTTCCAGCCTATACCCCACTCATCGCTCTCTCCAAAGGACCAAACCCTCGCTGATCAACTTCACAACCCCGAGATTCACCCTAGTTTGAGTGTTTGTGTCGTGTCTATTGCTATTTTCGATTTTTGAGAGTCGTGTTGCTGTGTTTTTCCTTTTCAAGTGTGTTAGTTGTGACTACCTATTTGCTTTAAGTAATAATATTTGTTCTGCCTTTGGTGATTTAGATTAACTCTAGTATCACTACTAGCCTTTGAACGTTAACCTTTCTTAAAAGAATTTTTTTGTGAAATTAAGAACACAATCAAGCTTTAGAAAAAGTTTATCGGATCATAAGAAACACAAAGCCTAATAGATTCAAGACCCTTCCCACAAAAACAAATACAATTTGTGCTTTAATCTGCAATGATATTTTTAGTTTATTATAATCAATCAATTAGTTATGAGACATAACTAAAAGATTTCAAATATTCCATTTTATGATTTTCTATTATGGCAATTTACATACATACCATACCACATTACCACCCAATTCTTATGTGATTACACATCTAACCAAAATTTTACTTTTTAAATTTATATCATCCAAACCTTTCATATCACATCAAAAATACCATTATTTTAACTTTTCAAACGCAAAATATACTTTTTCATGCACAGATTAAGTGGCATATATGTAAAAATTAAAGATTAATGGTGCAGTACTTACAGCTAAGTTCTCTAGATCAGAGGCGATCCGCTTATTGACTCCATCCAGCACTGCTGATTTGAGAGGCTCTCTCCCATCATCTTTTGCATCTTTGGATATCTGCAGGTTTTATGTCAGTTGATGCTCAATCAAAACCACAGGAGTATGTGCAACCAGTGGTTATTTAAAATATTACAATAACAACAATAACAATAGTAATAATAATAATAATGATGATGATAATGATGATGATAACCTCAGACAAAACAGCCAAAGATGTCTTCTCTATCAGTTCTTTGATAAATTTCTTGACATCCGTTGCCTCGGCTAGAACGTCGCTAGTTCGGCTTGGCTTCTCTGTTGCTTTTTTGGAATTTTTAGACAGGTTATCAGCTTCTGTGATCAAATTAGCAGCCAGAAATCATGAGTGCTACAACATAAACAGAAGAATAAAACTTATCAAAGTTTTACTGCCTTGGTATCTCATAATTACAAAGAAGTTAAAGCAGTGGAAAAATGAACAAATGGAGAAAATCATAGATAGCTTTAAGGAACTTCAGAACAGAACCATTCCTTATATTAAGATCAATTTACAACTGAAATTCTGAAAAATAAAATAAATGCAGGTATTAAGATTTGAATATGGGATTTGTTTGGATATATTCTTAATGTTTACTTAACCAACTGTCATAAATTGCATCATATCACTAACTTTGGCAACGAAGGAGATGTGGAGTGAGGATGATGTGAGTTCGTTAAAAGCTGGAAACATTTAAAACAAAGAAATGAGAAATTTTGATTATTAATGAGCAATTGAAGTGGTAAGGTTCATGAATACTTTTCATGAAATTATCAACACTAAGAGGAAATCAAACAATTGGAGAAGTTATATTTTAGCACCAAATTTTAATATTTAAGAGATATTAATAATTATGATAATGATAGCTAGGAGTCAGGTTTATGATTCAAACAATGGAGTTAAAGGGAGGATCATGGAACAAGCACTCAAAAATCATTGTCAAGAAATCAATTTGGTTCAATGCCGTATATGTCAACTACAGATAGATTTGGTGCAGAGTCAATTAGAAAAAGATATAGAGAACAATGTAAATATTCATAATATTTGATGAAGCAGAAATTGAGCACCACTTCTAACAAAGCTTCTTTATCCATGCATTGGGCTTCCATAACTCTTTACATGGTAGAGATGGATAGAACTAGCTCGGTTAAAATGTCCGAAGGGTATGAAACGAATTAACACTTGAGGCTATTTCAAGAAGATCATTGATACTGATAAAATCCAATTGTCATTGGAGAACTATTTGTGCTAGGTGTTTCAACTACAGTTCCAAATTTGCTAAGTCTGCCACTTGTGCCTTAGTTGATAGAGATACCAAAAACAGGTTTATGCCAATTGAAGCAACAACAAAGATAGTAAAGATTGGGGAATTAACATAAATAGCACACAATTCTTATGTATTTACATATCTCACGCCTAAACCTTCATGTTTACACGCATAGCACCCAAATCTTTAAAATCAAATAAAAAATGGTACTATTAATATTTTTTAAAGGTGAAATACATATTTTCATGCATAGGTTTAAAGATTTTCATGCATAGGTAGGTTTAAAGCACCAAAGTGCTAAGTATGTAAATATGAAAGTTTAGGTATGATAAACTTAAATGCATAAGAATTGTGTGATACGTATGTAAGTTTCCCAAAAATATATTGGCGGCATGACTCGGTGCATCCGAAAATTTTCCATGACCCTTTTTCCAGCCATAATGGAAAACACATCAAAAGAAGGTATGAGCTGGGATTTGTTATTTCTTTTCTTAGGCCAAATGTCAGCCAAGCAAATGGGTACTTGTATTTTTTTACTTCTCAAGTTTCAGCAAATAACTACATTAGGCCCTTGCCAATAAATCAACTTATTCAATTAATTCATAAAGTAATGACTAAAATTATGGTTAATTGGCTCAAGCCATTCTTCTCGGGGTCTTATCTCATCAAGAGTGTGTGCATATGTCCCAAAATGTTGCATCTCCATGAAACCAGAGTTAACCCAAACCATAACAGAAAAGCAAATATGAGATTACAAACATACACAATTGAAAAGAAAATACAATAGAAAACACAACACAGACATGATGAGAGTTGTATCCCAAAAGAGTTGGTGGTTGGTTGGGTGGGTGGAATGGTGGCGGTTGATTGTCAGAAGGCTAGTAGGAAATGGCGGTAGAGCAAGAGGCATGGGGACAAAGGTTTCTAAACAGCAGGTGGAGGTAAGGGGGCTTAGTGGGGTTGTGTGTAGGAAGAAGAATGGATTGCGGGTTGGGTTGCAGAAGCGGGTGCTAGAAGGAGGTTATGGTGGCAGGGCAACAGCTGAGAAGTAAGGCACGTGGTAGGATGGGAACAACAGCTGCAAAGACAGCAGGGTAATAGTCCAAGCTGGCTGAGAACAGCCGGGCAGATGACTTAAAAAGGCAAAATTGGGGTTGCAGCTGGATTGGGAAACTGATTGGAGGCTGGGAATGGGATGCGGCTGGAGCAACAAGAAGATATCCAAAGGAAGATGACAGCGACAGCGAAACGAGGACTGCGAAGGATGAAAGAGTCGGGGATAAATGCCCTCGCAGGAACAAACTACAGTCGGAACACCACTCAATCCCTTTGAAGAAGATCACCATGTCGAACGAGCTATAGTTGTAGCACCACACGCCTTTGGATACAACCCTAGAAGAGAAAAAGATGACGTGGACAACTGCACTGACAAAAAACAACATATATAGTCACTATCAATGTTTAGGAAAATCAAAATGGGTTTGTTCACCTAAGCTTTTTTTTTCCCTTGATTCCGGGCAATGTATTACTCGTCACCTTTTTGTTGAAGATTGCTTGCTCGTGGACAAGGCTTTCTTATTTTTCTTAATTTGGGCAATGTTTTACTATCTTTTTTTGTTGATTAGGGGTGCAGAAATTGACCTGATACGTCAACACGATTAGAACTCAATTCGAAAAATTCAAGTTAGGGTTAATTCGAATATTTCTCGAGTCGGGTTTGTGTCAGAGAATTTGACCTGTTTATTATTTGGATCAAGTTTGGGTTGAACCAAAAAACCCAAACATGACTCGAATAAGCCCAAAAGTTTGGTTCGGGTTCGGGTTCGAGTTTTAGTTTTTGACTCATTTATTATTCGACTCGGGTCGAGTTCGGGTTGACCTATTCAGGTCAAGTCATCTTGGGGTCAAACCCGAACCTACTCGTTGACCCAAAGTGACACCCCTATTGTTGCTGAAAGCCAGTCAATGGGCAATGAGAACTCTTCCCTAAATATCTTTTTCATCAGTTCAAGCACCTTTACAAATAGACATTTATTTTAATCTGTTAAGTATTATGCACCACAAGATGTGAGATTTTTTTTGTTACTATTAGAGATCAGCAATAGAAATGTATTAACGTGAGAAGCTCAAAAACCAAACAAATGAAATGAGACTTCAAAGACCTACTTGGAGGTGTAAGTAAAGCTCTAATCCTAAGGGCGTGTTTGGGATCAATTTTAATTTTTGATTTTGCTTTTGTTTTTAAAAACATATTTATTTAGTGTTTTTTTTTTTGGGTTTCTATAAATAAGTTAACATATTTTTAATGTCACTTCAACCAACGTTTAGGTGTTTTGAGTTTTTTTTTTTTAAATAGTCTTACCTTACATAGTTAAACATGTTTTGTTGCAAATTAAAATATGAACAAAATAAAATAAAAATAAAATAATAAAAAATAAAAGTGATTCCACATAACCCCCAGGACTCTTGTGGTATTGTTTTGCTTATTATTGTTCCCTCTTTTTTTATGTTCTTGTTCCATGGAAATGCCAACATGAATCTTTTTTATCAGCTGGAGCATATCTATAGAGGTTTGTTGTGGAGAAAAAGCCAAAATCAAGAGGATTACCTCTGGTGGATTGGGATACCATTTTTTTATAGCTACCATAGATGGGAATGTTGGAGTGTTTAAGCAAATCATCTCAATTTCATGAAGCTTTGGCACCAAGACTTCAATACATCATCAATGAGACCGCAAACAATAGCGTCCAATCAGGGGTTAGGGGTTTGGGGTTTGGGGTTTAGGGTTCTAACATTCGATGCAGCTACGTTGAGGACAAACCTTGTTTGAATTGAGAAAGTAGCAATCAAAGTCGATGAACTCAAGACACCCTCTTTGCATAGACTCAATTTTATCAAATTCTCAATAGTTTGATCGTGGCACGCGTAAATACATCAGTTCTGTAGTTAAAAAAATTCACCTGGGCGCTCAATTTATAAATATCAATGTTTCGGGTGCCATCCCTAGGAAAATATCTTAACTAATGTGAAAAAGCTTGCATAAACCCAACTAACAACACATAGAACTTAACAAAAAAAGATGAGAAATATTCTAGAAGCTGATTCTAAACTATAGAAATAAGAATGATGGTGATGGCAAAATTCATAATTCATGTTCATATTGGATTATAGTGTACCATGCAGAAAAAACAAAAATATAACATCGCAAGATGATAAGGTATGAGCTCTACTATCAACCATTTTACAAACAAGACTTCCATGACTGTAAATGATGAGAATAACCTTGAACGTTAGTTAACCTTTTCTCCAAAGGTGCATGCTTTTGCTCATGAACATGAGTAACTGCTGCACTAATTGTTTGTAAGGGCGGCTGTGGTACTTCTACTGGTACAAAAGCAGCAAGATCAGGAGGATTATCTTTTCCTACCACTGTTTGAGCCTGCTTCAGAGCAATGCCAATCAATAATTCTCTTCCCATGAAAGTGCGCGAAACTATAATATAAGAAGCTTACAAAAGACTACCTCAAGGTCTACATAAGACGGATTTCTTCCGATAGATGACAGGAACATGTCAAGGTTGGTTGCACTGAGAGCTGCCAAAAGTGAATCATGCACTGAGTGATTTGGTAGAGAAAAGGTAGGGACATGTGATATTAGCTACATAAACAAAGCAATATATTCATTTTAAGGAATTCAATTGCTGAAATACTTGATTCAAATTTGACCATGCAACACTAAATTCTACATGCAAAGAAGATGCCTCTGCTTTAAGAAAAAGAGATAAAAAACTGAATCTTGAAAATAATAACAGACTCGAACAAAATCACAGTACACTGATTAACTTGTAGCATTGTAGCACAATATTGATCATGACAGATATGGGACTTCGGAGCACAGCACGGACGAAAAAAAAAAGGATAAAAGAATAGGCCTATCTTAGAGCTAACCCATCCTGGCAAAGCTGATTCCATGATGCATAAACCAGAGGCTAACATGGACAAAATCCAATTCTTGTTCCGTTCCATAATTATTCGCATCATAATTTGTGCCATTTACAATGAACAAGTTTGTGAATCAATTATAGGATGACAAAAAAAGTTAAAAATAGACAGCATGTCAACCAATAAACACCAACGTTTCAAAAGAGTGATAATATAGAATATTAAGAAAGATGATAGTTGTCTTCAATAGAATCGAAATCTTTAGAAGAGAGAGGAACAGTTGGTACCAACCAAGAGGGAGCTAGCTCCAATCGATAGGGGTCGAGATCTCAACGCTGGCCGAGAGCATGCTGGCTGAAACTCCATGAGAACAGGCTAGAAAGAAACCAGCGCTTTATTAAATTAATCATTACACCATTACAAGCCAAGAAAATTCATGAGTATAGAATAGGTTTGTTACGCCTGTACCTAAGGACAATTTTATTTTTTGCATGCCTAAGGGCTAATTAGTCTTATGTTATTTATTTAAAGTTTAGGGTGATGCATGAGATTGTGTCTTGACTCTTTTGGTTAGAATTTAGGATTTGGAGAGATTGACCACCTCTCGAATTGCAGTTGTTTATCTTTATGTAGTTGTGTTGAGTTTTTTGTTGTTCTTGCAATAAAATATTTGTTTGCTTATCAAGTGGTATCAAAGCATTTGGTCACGCTGCAAAGCTTAGGATCGTACTGAAATCAGTCAATCGTTGCGTCAAACTTAGTGATACTCGTGATTCAAGCTAGTTGGGAAGCAAATACGGAATCCAAGTGCACAGAAGCGTCGTTTTTGGAACGAACACACGCTAATAGCTGCAGGAAGCCGCAGACAGGGTCGATGTCCTTTGAGACTCGACCTCGCAACCTAGATGTCGCTTTCCTGAGAATCGTGACTGTATCGAATCACCCTGAGAAAGCCAACGAAAGGATTGCGATACCTTCTTTGCAATATAGTGCAACGTGATTGCTAGCTAGGAACAGAGGGGATCACGACGTACTTGAAAGCCACCAATGAGATCATGTACCTTGCAATATAGTTGCGATAAGAGCTAGCTAGGAAGCTGCAGACGGGATTGCGTACAACCTCCCCAAATTGTGATGATGGTATCCCATACTACTTCTAATACAATCGCGATCGGAGCTAGTTGGGAAGACTGAAAGGAATCGAGGTGTCCAGGCTTTCGTGAACAAGCTCCTTCGTGACTAAACCTGTGATATAGTCGTGATCTTGGGGAGCATCGATGAGACTGCAACACACATGCCCTCGTGACCAAACCTCGCGATCAGGATCAAGACGAACTATGACCTAACCTCACGATACAATTGCGAATTGAAAAACTTAGGAAATCATATTCTGGATTTCTCGTTCGAAAACGACCTTGGAGAAATAGCAGCAACAAATATTGATGCTTTGGAAGTGAATTTGAAAGTAGGTAAGCCTACCTCAATACTGGATAGAAAAAAGATTTTACTCCATTGAAAACTTATTCGAGAACTTAGAGAAGATGATAAGAAAGCTTATTGGATGCAATTCAAGACCCCGCCGACAACTCAACTTGCAAACCTTCACCAAGGGTTGACCGGAGAATTCGTGGTCGGATCAAAAGGAAAAGAGATCGAACGTGAGGAACATGAGGAAAACATCCACCATCAAGAACTCCCCACTAAGACTTTGATGGGGGTGAATTAAAGATTTCAGATGAAGGGAGTTGGACCGAAGTATTGACGGGTTATGCAAGGGGTTTGGAGCACAAAGAGGAAAGGAGAGAAGCCGAGATGGGGTATAGCTATGATCAAATGAGGGATTTTCACCCTAGATATGTGGGCGGGAAACACCAGAGGAAGAAGAATTTGAGCTGGAGATTCTAGGAATAGAAAGTTGAAGATGTCGATCTTAGAGGGGGAAAACGCACATGGTTGTGTACTTGAAGTGATATTTCCTGGTGAATAGGCATAAAAGGGAGGAGAAGCTCATAGCGGCAGAGTTATGTTTAGAGGGAAAAGCTCTAGCATGGTTTTAGTGGAAGGAGGTTAGATATTCGATCCGTTCGTGGAAGAAATTCAAGGATTGCTTATTGGAACGTTTCTGGGTTAATAGGGAAGGAGACCTGCACAAGCAACTTTATGCCTTTACTAAGAAGGGGACTGGTATGCAATATAGAGAAACATTTGAGTTATTGTCGGGACGACTAAGAGGGATTTTTTGAAGCAGGATTGGAGGGAAACTTCATGAAGAGCCTAAACCACAGGAGGATTCCACAATTTTACCTCAATGATTATGACATCGAGGACCCAGACTGTGTCATTTAAGAAGGAGGCGCCAAAAGAGAGAAATATGAGGGCTTGTCCGAAGGGAAACCTCAAGCGCCTCACAGAAAGCGAAGGGCTTATACGGGAAGTATAGGCCATCGGTAGGAGAAGGCAGATAGTGAAGATTCAGAGGAAGAAGTGGGGAAGGGAAAAGAGCAATTACACTCGAATGTAGTGAATATCTCTCAACTCAACGGGGGATTTACTCCAAATCACACCATGAATGTAAGGGGACAGATCAAGGAGCAACTGGTAGTGGTGTTGGTGGATAGGGGGGCAACTCAAAATTTCATCTCAAATTGGGTCGTGGAGCAGTTGGGTTGAAGTTGGTAGATATGGGAAGTCTTGGGGTTATGATGAGAATAAAGGTGGAAAAAAGCAGTGGAATTTGCATGGAATTGGTGTTGACTCTACAGGGCATACAAATGGTGGAAGGCTTCCTTCCCTTAGACTTGGGAAACACTAATGAGATTCTGTGGATGAAGTGACTACAAAAAATCAGAGAGACTAGGGTGGATTGGAAACCCTTGACTATAGAGATTCGGGTGGAGGGGAGGAAGGTGGTGCTTCGCAATGACCCTAGCTTGCGCAAGACCTTGGTGTCAGTGGATCAATCGAAGGTGGTGGCTATATTGGAGAGGCCACTACTTAAAACCTAGAACACTACCATAAGTTCGTGATGAGTGAAGATTTGATTGTGTGGTTGAGGACAAAGAAATAAAAGAATGACAACTTTCAGTGAAGGAAAGTGATGACCCAGATTTCTGAGAAGTTAAAGAAAGTCATGATGAGTGTACCAGTGCTAATGGTAAGAACCATACTCAAGCCAGTTTATAAGCAAAAGGCACACGACTTGATCTAGCAACAGTTTTCTTTTTTTTTCCCACATTGAGGACATAGAGTTTTTTTGGGAAAAGAGAATTGTTATGATGTTGCCTAAAGGAAAATTTGTCTTTTTAGCACCTAAGGGCAATTTAGTTTTTTATTATTTATTATTATTTAGTATAAATATGGCTGATATGTTTAGGATTAGGGTGATGTATGAAATTGTGTCTTGAGTCTTATGGTTAGGATTTGGAATAGATTTTCTGCCTCTCATATAATAGGATTTGGAGGAAATTGCCTACCACTCGAATTCTAGGTGTTTATTTTTATGTATTTATGTTGATTTGTTTGTTTTTCTTGCAATAAAATAATTTCTTGCCCTAATTTTGATGGAAAAATCTGCTTGCATCATATCAAGGTAATACCATTAGAAAGTGATATTATTGGAGAGAAAACGTATCTCTATTGATTTGTGTCTATTGTACAACATATGCAGGCTCATCTGTAGGCAAAGAGAGAAAGTTAAAAAAAAGATAATACAACAACCACCACCCTTTATCCAACTAAGTGGGGTCGACTACATGAATCTTTTTTCTCCATTGCGTCCCATTGAGTGTCATATTTTCATTTAATTTTAATACATTAAGATCATTTTCTATACAATATGTTCAAGTCTTTTTAGGTATACCTCTGTCTTTCTTAACATAAGTCAAATCTATAACATCTACTCTCTTAACCGGATCATCAGAGGGTCGACTTTTAATGTGACCAAACCATCTAAGACGACTCACTCTAATCTTGTCTGCCACTAGAGCAACACCAACCCCATTACGGATATATTTATTTCGCATTTAGTCTCTAAGTTTCAAGCCACTCATCCACCAAACCATCCTCATCTTAGCAACACTTAATTTTATTTTATGCTTCTATTTTAAAGGCCAACATTCTGCACCATAGAGCATTGCAGGTCTCACTACCATCTTATAAAGTTTTACTTCCAAGTCTAAGCGGTACTTTTCTCTCACGCAATAGGTCTGATGCATTCCCCCACTTCAACCAACTTCAACCAACCAACTTGACCAACTTGAATTATACTAATAATATCTCCATCTATATCACCATCATTTTGAATAATAGACCCGAGATATCTAAAACGTTCAGACCTTTTAATGATTTGATCACCCACAATTACAACTCTGTCATTAGAGCTACCGCTACTAAAATTATATTCCATGTATTTAGTTTTAGATCTACTCCAACAAAGGCCTTTAAACTCTAATGTGGGCCTCCATAATTTAAGTTTCTCCTGACATCTTTCTCTAATCTTATCCACAAGAAGGATATAATTAGCGAAAAGCATAAACCAAGCTACACCTTCCTATAAATGTCAAGTAAGAGCATCCATAACTAGAGCAAAAATATATTGACTTAAAGTCGGTCCTTGATATAATCCAATTGAAAGAGAAAAGTTCTTGATCAATTCTCCTTCTATTCGAACACAAGTAACAACTCTAGTATACATATCTTTAATGACTTGAATATAAGTCATATCAGCACATTTCTTCTCTAAAACTCTCCAAAAAACTTCTCTTGGAACCTTATCATAACTTTTTTCTAAATCAATAAAAATCATAGGCAAGTCCTCCTTAGTCTCTTTGTACTTCTCCATCAAACCTCTCAAAAAATAGATAGCTTCCATTGTAGACCTGCTCGGCATAAATCCGAACTGATTATGAGAAATCTATGTATCACATCTTAAAATACATTCAATAACCTTCTCCAAAAACTTCAAATTATGAAACATCAACTTAATTACTCGTAATGATAAAAAATCTCATAATAATAAGATCGAACTTGATATTGATATATATGTATATATCAGGAGAACCTTGCAGCTACCCATCTTCAGGAAGTATCCGGGGTAGAGGCGACAACTCTTACCTCACATACACTTGTTGGCCCAACTGTGGGCAATCTTTCTACCGCAGCACTGCCACCTCATCCGAATGAGCAACAATCTTCGGATAAAGAATGACAGGTCTACACTTCCAGGAGGAAGAAGAAGAATGGAGATCTACTTGAGCTAAAGAATCTAATGGATGATACTCTGGTTACTTCGGGCAATGGTACACACCTCATCAATCTGTTAGTTGGTTCCTTTCAGAGAACTAGAGGCAGATACAAAACTAAAGTTGGTCGACCTGGACCCGACCTGGTTGATCTTTTATGTACCATCTACTTTTGGGTTTTTAATTTTCTTCTTTTTTCTTTTGTGTATGTTGTACCGTATGAGTTGGGTGTCTATTTGGGTCCACTCATACAACCTATCTGTACCTCTTTCTCTTTAATATAATTGCCCTTGGGTTTTTTTTAAATATATATATATATATATATGCATGTATGTATGTATATATGTATGCATGTACCCCTCATATTACAGTACTAGAGACAAGGAGGAACCATTGAAAGGAGAAAACATTCTCACTCCCCTTTACCTGAAGGACATATCAAAGAGGATATAACCGTAAGAAGGAAGAAAAAGAAAACTTGATGCAGGAACTATTCTTTAGTGAAATACGGCCTGAAACCGATACTAGAAGAGATAGAGTGAGGAAGAAGCATGAGAAGAAACCTCATAGCACAGTCCTATGGCTTCTTAGAGAAAGGAAAAGGCATTATATATGTATGTATGTATGCACACACACAGTGTGTGTGTGCGCGCACGCATGTGTGTGTATCATTAACTCCCCCTCAAACTCATATTGGCAAAGAATGTGAAGGCTTAAGTTTGGTCTTTAACCTACAAGAGAGTCTTGAAAAAGAGGTTTGATGAAAGTATCAACAAGTTGATATTAGAAGAAATGTGTTTTAAGAGAATTATTAAATATAAAAATCTCACTCAAGATAAAGTGTAAATCAATCCTTATACATTAATGGCAGGCATCATTTAAACAAATTATAATTGCGCTATGGCTTTCAAGATGTAAAGCATGTCTGGCATGATCAATATGCATATCTAAGAATGATCATAAAAGGCAAATCATTTTTCCCACAATGTTAATATGGACGCGATATTTAACTTCAGCATTGGAACAAGAAACCCTGATTTGTTTCTAATTTTGCAAAGAATTAAAGATATTCTTAAGAATGGACTATATATATATATATATATATATATATAATTTTTACTGATTGGATCTCCAACTCAAATAGAATCAACGTGCAAAAAAAAGTTAAGGTAAAGATTGATAGTAATAATAGGGAAAACCGTCATGAAAACATGAATATTTGATGCACCGGTGACCTTATTTCAACACTAAAAAACCTTTTTTTGACATACATCCCCTTCATGCACACCAAAGTTTTTGCTCAACTCCCTTGAGGGTCCTCCCCACCTCAAAATCCAATTGCTGCTACATTTATCCTGCCAAGTTTGGTATGCATAAAGATCATAACATTGTTGATAAAATAGATATGCAAGTGACTGCACCACCACCACCACCATCATCCACATCATCATCAAAATTAGCCTTGGCCTAACTATTTGGTGTTGGCTTTATTAACATTGATTTTTCAATTGTTCCTTCTTAGTGTTGTCTAAGGCATTAAACATATTGATTGTAAATTATTTTGAATCACTTGTATCAACTTATCAAATATGTACATTGCCTATCATTTTTGGTACATGTTCATACCACATAAAAGTCTATTTTCAGTTCTCCTGTCTTCAATACATACCACACTTACCATTTCCTCTAATATTATCATTTTTAATAATACCTACTTTTGCTACACAACAATCTTTAACATATTCATTTCAACCACATTCAACTAAGATATAAAAAATTATTTTTCAGCCCACAACATTTAAATCCATACAACTACGTGGGCTTAATTATCATTTTTTATTTAATATTTTAAACCTTAATGATATCCTCTTATCACACAAAATTCCCAAGCCACTTCTCTTCTTTAACCATTTAGCTTTAACTCTAAAAGTTATATCATTATTTATATCTTATTCTTTTATATAATAGAATAAAAATACTTAAATTTATCACACACATATATCACCTATCTTTTAATAATATCAAATGATAATTGTTAATATCATACCCACTAACATTATATAGCATATACTCAGACTTTTTTTTACTAATTTTAAGACTTCGGTCTTCCAGACATCTCTTCATTGTATTAAGTTTTTATTTAATTTAACAGATATCTCACTAATTGGAGCTGTAACTGCCAAAAACACATAACCAAAGCATCTTGCTTTAAAAATCATTTGTGGGCATCTTCATCGAAAATACAAAAAATAAAAAAATAAAAAAAATAAAAAATAAGGTCACCCTTAATGTAAACTATGATGTCATACCCTTGATACATGCATTTTGGCCTTAAAGTACAACTAATTAATTCTCACAATGCTCAATCATATGCTTTCTTAAGATCAATAAAAAACATATGAAGATTCTTCCTTTTACTTTTTTACTTCTACATTAGTTTTCTCAAAACAAAATTGATTCCATTATGTATTTTTTTCATGAAATCAAAATTATTCTCAAAGATTGGTTTTTTTTTTCTTGAGCTTATGTTCCAAAACTCTTTCTCGTAGCTTCATTGTATGACTCATTACTCATATGTTTGATTCCTATATATTTGGTATAATGTTAAACATTGACAATGCTCTTAAATATAGTTTCAAAATGATTCTTCTCGGATTATTTAGAATCCAATTAGACTTCAAATTCTATTGAAAATTTTGCTAACCAAATTATTGTAGCATCCCCATAATGCATCAAATCTCTAAGGGCATCTCATCTTGATCTAAAACTATACCTTTATATATCTTTTCACATCTAGGACCACTTCACTTTCTTAGATCAGTCTATGATATGCTTCGCCATATTGTTTGTTATACTCTTCTAAAATAATTTCTTCATAGGAGCTCTCAATTAACAATTTATCAAAATTAATAATTTATTCCTTTTTTTATGTCTTCATTTTTAACTAAAATCATATCATCTTCGTTGTATTGCATCAAATTTGATCAAAATCATTAGATCTCTTATCTTACTTAATCTCTATACATCTTTATATTAGCTCAAGTGACTTTGAACAACTAAATATAGTGAAACGAGGTTTAGGAAGCAAACAAGACATTTCATGACTTTGCTTTCGTCAAGGTTGATGGCATAGATTTATATTGTCAGAGGAGAACAATGGTATTTAATGGTGTAAGATTTTCTAGATGAAATAAATTTATAAGAAAAGAATGGACCTTAAGGGCAATGCAAAGCTAGAAACAAGATCAAGCTTTTTTTTAGCTCTTTACCAACATATGGTGTGCAAAGGCCTTGATATAATTCCAGAAATGCAACTGATTTCGACCATCCCAAATCCCAACGTGTCTTGTAAATCTCTAGATAAAAAAGGCCATTGTAATGATCGCTTTAATGTAGCGCCTAACAAAAAGAATCTAGGTCTCTTGGAGAGTGGGCTAGAAAAGGCCATAAGCACTGATAAAACTACAGAATATAAAAACAAAAGAAGGAAGAAAGGAGGAGGTGAGATTTCGTAATGCTTTACACCCACACCCTACACATCTTAGAAGGTTATTTAAGAATTTTCAAATTCATTTACCTTCGCGAACTTTCAATCCTTGAATGCACATAAAAGATGAGTCACATTTCTTCCTCATGAAAATTTAAAAAAGCTGTGAGTCATAGTAAATGTTGTGGATTTGTGTATTGGATTTTCCATCTGAATCCATGAGCAGAAGACCGGTTCTATTAGGAAAAATGGAGGGAAATATTTTAAGCATTTGTGAGCTAAAGATTACTTGGATTCTCAGGGAAATTAAAGAAATTCATCAGACACGGTGAGAAGTTCATAGCTCATCCAAATAAGAAGATCAAACAGCCCGAATACATGGTCTTGAGATTGTCAAAATTAATTGGCAAAATAAAAATAAAAAAAAGACAAAATGTTCATGCTCATTGTTCAGCAGCAGTCATCATTATCACCGTAAATTACAAGTTAGCTGATTGACTATACCAGCTTTTTACAGCCAAATGTATCATGCATGGACATAAAAAATTAATTTGAAGAAACCAAGTGTTAAAATTTGAGCAAATCAAATAATTCGCTTTAAGCGAGTCTGGTACATCTAATAGAAACAAAACATTCATTGTTAAGGGAATAAGTTGCAGCGTAAGTAAATTAACCTGTACTCACATCCTCCTAAAATAGATAATATAACCAGTAAACGGAGAAAAAAAAACAGTAAATGTCAATTCTGAAGCAAATACAGAACGTAGAAAATTAAACCAGAGGAAACGGAATAAAGATGACATTACTAACAAATTGTTGTGTCATTTGACAAAGGATGGAAAAAGCAGCACTCCTGAGCTTTAAATGCTTGATCCAACAACAGTGAAACAGCACTGCAGAAAAGAGGCAAGAATCAATAAGAGCTTCCAAAAGAATTGCAGAACTCTGTAAATCAAATTATATCACGTATACTAATTCATCCAGCTAATAATACATAGAAAAAAAATACAGCAAGTGGTTGAAAACTGGACAATGTCTGGATTTGTCGAGTGTTCATTTTGTTTCTGGTTTGATTTGTTCTAATTTCACCTTTACTTTAGTCGCTTTCACTAGTAACAAAATCATGTTTTGATGGTTTTACTCATTTTCCATATTACGCAAGGAGAGAACTGCTAGGCAATAGAAACAGAAAAACAAAAGAAAACTTTATTAAATTAGCATAATTATGACTATCTAATGATATTTAATCTCAGAAAAGCAGTTTGGTAATATCCTTTTTAAACCATTCGCAAGCCCTACCTAGTTTAATTAAATGAACGAGCCGATTACTTTGCCAAGTTAATTAATGAAAGCCACCCCAAACTAGGTGTCACGACCCAGCCTGATGGCTTAGAATTAATCATGTCAGAAAAAACGGTAGGATGGTATTAATCTTTCTTTTACATTTTATATAATAAACCATCATAACTTCCAAAAATAAAAAGAGCCACTAAAAATTACAAGTACACTAAACAGAAATCCAATTCATCCAAAGTATCAACATAGTATAAGAGTAAAATAGTATCACAATCTAACTAACATAGTCCAACATTTCTCAGAATTAAAGAGCATAAGAACTATAACTAAAATAAACAACATACTATCTAGTATCAGTAGTATACCTATAAATCAAATCTCTCATATCAGTTATATCAATCTAGAGTTTTGTCAGAAAGGAACAATTACTCAACAATAAGTTTTTCATGTAGTAAACAATTACAATCATATTATACATTAAATTAATATGCAAATGCTATGCATGAATATCTATAATAAATGTGATTCATTAATTAATCAAATTATAAACTTTTATTAAAAATTAACCATTACTCAAGTATTTACATTTTTAACATATGCCTTTCTTTTAAGAAGCCATATCAGGATCACCGTTATACCTAAAAGAATCTTTAAAAAATTGTACCCGTAGGTACATTCAAAATTTTGTACGCATAAGCACCCTCATATTTTTTTTACGCATGGTACCCTCAAAATTTTGCACCGAAAGTACAATTTTACCATTTTCATTTCCTTTTTCGTACACAGGAACATCACATCCCCTGTCACTACCATCTGGGGGTGAATCATGATTTAACTTAAGCTTTTACTTATCATTATATATACATTTAAAATCATTTAAATGTGCTTTCATGTATCAATTATTATCCTCTCATGTGAAACATTTCTCAAACATTTAAAATGCAAATTCTAAATGAAATATTTTAAAATAATATTGCAAAGTCATTTTTATCAACTTGAAATGTAACTACTACATATATCACTAATCTAACACTAATAAGAGAATGATCACTCACCTTTATCTTAAAGCATTTCTTTACAAGCTTGATTATATGATTACTTCTGCTGCATATATGTATAGATATATATACATATGTATAGATATATATACATATGTATAGATATATATACATATGTATAGATATATATACATATGTATACATATATATACACACACATATATATATACATACATATATATAATATTAAATTCATTAACCTTTGCCTGATTCGGTCTCCCTCTTCTCGAACGCTCGAAGCTTCGATACGGAGCTCTTTCCCGTACGTGCACGAGCCGCCTCCCTTTCTTCTTCCTTCGAGCTCCGTTAATGTCTGCTACAGTATGCACTCCTCCCTCCTTCCTCGTATTCTTCATGTAAACGGCGTCGTCCTTCTTCCCGCAACACCCGTACTCGACACTAAAGCCTTTTGTACCTGCAAATAATGTCAAATTTCCCTTCGAAGAGAACGGATGTGTGCCCTAGAAGCACATAAGTTTTCCTCTTCACTCTTTCTTCAACTTTGCTCGGCCAAAGCACAACTTCTCTTCCACAAAGTCCCGTAAGCAAAGCCGTCTCTTCTCCTTCTTCCTTATTCTTCTCCACTGGTTGGCTAGGACATGCATGCTACCCTTCTTCTTCCCTTCATTCACTGTTGTTACTTCATATCCTTCCTTTGTCTTCCACTCACTCTATCCAATCTGCGATTCCAAAATGAGTGAGACACTAGCCTCCTTAAGTAAGATTGTCGAGATAGTTATTCTATCCCACCTATTCAATTTATTATTATTACTTCAATTTTAGTTATTATACTAAGTTACCATAACTAAGCATCGATAGACATTAATTTTCATGATTAAAATTATGATTAATTCATAATCAGCAGAAAATTAGTTAATTGCAAATTTTCTGGTTGCTTCATCAATTAATTAATTTTCCAAAGAACACTAAAATAATTAAATGAGAAAAAAAATTATTGATCTTAATTAAAACTCTACTCATCCTAAATATTTAATTATCAATTACTCTGACAAAATCAATAATTAACAATCTGGGCCTAGTTATCATGGTTAAATATTAACAAGCCTTAAAAGATTTTGACTAAAATCATACTTAATCCATAATTAGCCATAATAATAAGTTAATTGCTAGTTAATATGATAAGTAAAAACTAATAAATATTAATGATTTTAATTTAAACCTAAAGAGCCTTTATGATAAGTAAAATGCTCTTTGCTACATAATTAAAACCTTCATATATCCCTTAGCTTTAATCACGCACTATCGCCTATTTCGCCTCCGGCTCTCATGCGTGTTCACCATGCTTGTGACCCTACTAATGCAGAAGTTGAGGTCGCGATTCTGCATGCGAGACATCCGCAAAAATTTCTCACATGTGCGGGAACAGAGACGGGATTATGTCCTGGTAGGCTTGAAACGAGCTTTCCTGCTCGGCATTTTTTTTATCAGTCATGTAAGACCTTTTTTATTTTATTTTATATTTGAAGTCTAATTAGGGTTATTTTCATTTAAAGAGACTTAGGGTCTATTTGGGGTAATTGTAGCTTATTGAATAATCTGCTGATAAGCTGATTAAAAATAATCTGCTAATAAGCTAGATGCGGTAGCTATTACAAATTTTTATTTTTTTGGAAAAGTCATAAAGCTGTCACCGCACCTAGACAGGTGCGGTGTGAAAACGCTATTTTTAGCGTTTTGAAAACACATAAGCTGCCAAAACGTAATTTACCCAAATAGGTCAGGTGTGTTTTCAAAACGCCACTGCACTAAATAAGCTGCCCCAAACGGACCCTTAATATATTGCATTTTCTCCTTTTAAAGACTTAGCAATGTTTTTGTATATTTTGCAGATTGTATTCTCTGATTTCTACCATTATGAATGTTTTATGATCTTCTTTTACAAGTGGTGTTTCTAGAGCTTGTTTAAGAACAAGTGGTGAAACTACCTTGGCATTTAGCAGCCCAACCGCTATTTACCAACCAAACAGCTGACAATTAACCCCTATCCTCTTCCAAACGTTTTCAATCTTGCATATTATCAAGCTATTGTTATTCCATAACCACCTCCCTGCTAAATCCACTTCCTAAACACCTTCTAGGAGCCCTAGAAAAGCGTCACCAACGCTCTGCCGCTCATGGCAGGTCTCGTGCTCGCTCGTGTTCATTTGTGTATTCACGAGCTTGCTCCATATCCAATTCATTCTAGCCTTTGATGTAACACCTCATGGCATCAATGACTCATTTTCTCTCAACCCATCATCATGTATTTATCTTCAATTTTTTTCATCAACTATTCTACTGGTTGTAGATGTAGAAAAGTATGTCATTTAGCGACGCGGTGGAGTTAGGGTAGGCATGACCTGATTGAACCAATTGTTGGGGTCAGCAGAAGAAGGCTCTCGATCCAGCATGAGGCTAGACCGACCCCCTCCTCCCTCTTTCATTGGGCGGGAATTAATCCCCCCTTCCTTTTTTATTTTCCCGCCTATATATCTATTATAAATAAGTGTTTTTGTTTTTTTAGATTTAGTTTTTTGGTTGAGATTTCTGTCGGACAGTCTCCGACGTCCCCCTTTTCCCTTCTAGGGTTATATCTGACAGCGAGAATATGCTCCGGTTGTAACTCGTTCGAGATGGTGTGTATCTTGCTCTATCCTCCTTGTTATCATCCTCACTGCAGCCCTCCAACACCCCCTATTGTCGTTGTTGTCCACCTCTTGCACCCAAATCTTCTACCCATCCAGCCATCAATCCCCTTTCCTTCCCCGACCAATCCAACAACCGGCCACCCCTTCCCCAATCTCCAGGCACCCATCCAACCGTTGACCACCTTACTTCCCTTACCATCCTAGCCGAAAACCAAGCTACTCCCACTAGCGAGTAGCGCCTCTCCCAACCGTAACCCATCTCTGCACCCTAATTTTTTCCCTACTTGTAGGCCCTCTACAGTGCATTTCCTTCGAAGAAAGTGCAGCAAACCCCCCACCACTGCAGCCCACTTCCTTCCACCTGCAGCAAACAACACATCACAGCAGCCCACTTCACTCCCCCTTTAGTGGCCCTACACCCCGCCGAACTGCTTGCTGCCCCCACACCCCGACCATTCCTTACCTGTTGTCCAAATGTCAAAGCTTGAACCTCTCTCGTCTAAAAATTCAGGGAAGCACTAGAAGCCAATACTTACAGAATATTGCTTAATCTAATTAAATATTGTGTGACACTACAAAGAACATCCCCCGAAACAACTCTGGTATTTATTGATAAAGTAAAAAACTCAGCCAAGTCAAAAAATGATGTCAATTCTGATCATGGATAGATATAAATACCTTGCAGACTCATTAATCAATGCCAATGGAGTAACACATCCCAGAGGTACCTAAAAACAACAAAATATGGTCAATAGAGAAGAATGATAACGCAAAAGTGGGCTCATAACTGAACTCTATAGTAATTTATTCTTTGTCATCTTATAATAAGAATACGAAGCATGCTATCATTAAAGAGAAACAACATGGAAGAAAATAAAACTTCCATGGATATGACAGATATCAGAATCACTATTATACGATAGTTAATAACTTCACATCTTTACCAATGGATGACCGGAGATAACTTAAACATTGGATTTTAAAGCATTTCACAAGTTCTACTAGCTTAGAAAATATATTTTTGTACAAATTACTTCCTTTTTTTTGGGAAAGAATGGAAGATCACCACCTCTTAATCATATAAATGATAAGAACTGCTAGGCCTACTTCAAAACCCTGATCTTAATGTGGAAATTCTTCAATTTAATCATTACTCTTCAAAAGCCTCAGCAAGAATGTATATAGTAACGTTAAAAATTCCCTTCATCAATTCCATAAAAAAAATATGGCAAAGAAGACAATATGACCAAATTTAATGAGTTGGGGGACAAAAATGAATACTTCAATTTCTTAAAAGTAATAGATGTGCGCATCTTAAAAGTCCAAGAGCCATTTTGATCATTTAATCTTTTAAAAATGGCTGCTATGAAATTAGTACAAACGTGGCAGTAAGAAAAATGCCAAAAAATAGAAGGCTGCAAGCAAAACAAGTAAATTACATGGTTTCTATTCTTAAAATTTTATATCAAATGGATTTCAAACTTTCACAATTGATCATGTCAAGCACAAGGTAGATTAGAACCAAACCTTATATTAGTTCAGTATTATATTAGGTTCTTTATGTTGAGTGTGTAGGAGATTATAGAAAAAATCATGAATACTAGTAAAATATGCCATTTCTTATGTTTAAAAGATAAAATGGAAACCAACCAAATGCCAGAAAAAAGTTTAAGAAAATAATTCAATCCACCATTGTTTCCTACTTATTGCTAACCATGCTACACACATTTTCAGCATAATGTTTATGATTCCTTCCCCTTTCAAGCCTTATTTATGCACCTGAAGTATTTCCTGCAAAGCTTCTTCAGGAGCCATTCTCAAGCCTCCTTTCCCTAAACCAAGGCGCTGGGACAGAACTGCTCAGATAAGGGGATGACAGCATATCCAACAATCAAAATAATAATTAATTCAATTATAAAAAGTGCATGCCCTCCATATCAAAACAAAGATTTTTTTTTTAAATAAGGCAAAAAAATAAAAAACAAACCTTTTAGATCAACATTAGTTCCTGCCAAAGCTGAGATCATGTAGTATCGATGCTTCTTGTCCTATAAAAGCAGCAGCTCAATGTCAGGCAACGGAATATAGAAGACAAGGGGTAGGATATTATTGAGAAAAGTGTCAAAATATTTTCTGACTCTTTGTTAGGGGCTTCTTTAGCCTCAAATTGTACAAAAATATTTATGTGAGCTAAAATAGTCCTCTATTGGGAAAATTTTAGCCCATATTAAAAGAGTATAGCGACTAATTTGACACTTTTATAGACCCTGAGATTAAAATGGCGTCATACAGATAATCAGGGACTACTTAGGCGCATTAATTGGAAATCATCGATAAGAGTTGAACAGAGAAGATAATTTCTGATACCTACTATATTACCTTTAACAACAAGTTCTTGCTCAGACCACCTCCCAAGTGTCCGACATATTTAGCCTAAAAAAGATGGTTATTAATGCAAATATTTAGTATAACCCCTATAGTGTGCATCAGTTTTGGTCCTACTAACCTGTGCTTCAACTGTCAATACAGCAGGGTGCTCAAAGGTGGCAAAATCAATATGTAGTTCCTAGACAGGCCAAAAAACCAACACAATGATTAAACGCTATAGAAGGAAATCCAAGGAAAACAGTATTTGAAAAAACATATTTGTAGCATATCCTTACAAACTTTATCAAAATGGTAAACTGCATTCTTAAAATGAGAAATACTAAAAAAAGAAGAAGACTTACATAAGCACCACTCAATCCTTATGTATTTACATACTAACACATAAACTTCAATTTTTACATATATGTCATTTTGCTTATGCATAAAAATGTGTATTTCACATTTCAGAAGTTAAAATAGTGGTAATTTTTGTGATATAGAAGATTTGAGTGGTATAGATGTAAAAAGTAAAGTTTAGGTGTTAGATATGTACATACATAAGAATTGGGTGTATGTATGTAAATGCCCAAAAGAAAAATCTACACTAGGATCTTATTATTGTGTTCACAGCTAAAATGGCCAAATCAAATAGAGATGACCTTAAACCCAAAACCATTTTGGACATGAGAATGTATGTGTGTGTGTGTGTGTGTGTGTTAATTGTGAATTTATTTGGGAGTGAAGCATAATTACTCCTAACCCGAGTCAATAGCAAGTAGCTAGATAGCGGGCATGTACAACTCTAACCATATAGTGATAGCATTATGAATCAAGTCTTTTGAACAGAAAAAAACAATTAGCTCGTTTAATGCCTTGTGGGGAAACTCATGGATGGATCATTCAAAAGGACCAAAAAGTAAGTAAATCAAAATAAAGAAATAAAAGAAAAGCAAATGGTGCAAGATACCATAGCTAGGATTTCTAATGAAGATCTATGATAGATGCAAGAAAATCATGCAGCATGCACGCAAAACATTGCAAATCACAAACCCTTAATTTTAACAATAACTCATTATCTTCGCTGAAAAGAGAGATTGTGGCAAGAAGATGAAAATAGATAATGTGATTAAATCAATGCAAATGATAAATCAATAGTTTATTTATTAGAAATAACCCTAAAAATTTAAAACTATGAAAAATAATACAATTATTGAGATTGAACGCTCGTAGAAACCTAAATTTTATGAAAAGAGAATAAAAGAAAGAACCATTCAATCCGTCAAAAAGCTTTAGAGCTTTAAATAAAAGGTACGAGGATAAAGGTCATCAAAGCGATAGAATCATGCCTCATGCTTGGAGAGGGAGATAATATCTCCAGAAAAAACTGTTCAAGGCTCTAACTTGACTAGGAATTTGATTCCCTCAAGAAAGAAAAAAATAGCATATCTAACAAGAATTTATTCATTACCAAAACAAACTTTTTTTTTCAAGTCTAAGACTTATTATATAATAAAATATCTCCCAAATCTATCCCAAAAAAAGAAAAGCATCATTGTCAAAGTTAGTCTCAGAGTGCACACAAGTCATTCTACTTCTTTGGGAGAAACTTCATGGCTTATCTATGTTCATTGATTTGGTGACTTGAAACCACCCTATTGGATGAAGTTTATTTTTACTGTTATATTTTTAATATGTGTATTTTCTTTCTTTCATTTGCATCCCTATATCTTCTTCAGATGTCATAGAGCTTCGCTCAAAGTTCCCACACTCGATGTTATCTCCAACTAAAGCACGTTCTACAAAAACTATCTCCATCCAACCAATCTTTCTTTCATCAAATCCAAAACAATAAAATATACATACTACAACCTAAAACAGCTCTTGCATCGTTCCCTCCACATCCTAAGCTCACCATATATATATACAGCTATCATACTTTCCAATATAACCTACACTTAGCATCCATATAAATCAGCCAGCAGAAATCAGCACAAACACGACTAAAAAAAAACTATCGAACACCATGGAAAGCAAGCTTACTAAAGATCTCTAAACCCCAAATAAAATTCATCTGGTCCTCCAATATCCCCTCATATTAAATAAAATCACATATGTCAATTCTTCGCTGCAAAGCCAACCTTACACCTAGCGTGATTGCAAGAACATTGTATCGATTCCATCTCCACATAAGAGAAAAAGGCGTCGATAGTTGTAGTTGCAGAAACCCTGCAACAAAAAATCATCTCATCTAATATCTATTTTGAAAAGATAGAACCACCAAAAAAAACATAGTGGAGCAAGGAGAGTTGAGAAAGGTTAGGAATTTTTTAACCCACAAAAAGTACATCTCTTAAATTAATAAAACTAAATGTCGCAGATGTTGATAGGTCTATGCACATTTAAGCCACTGAAAGTGGGCCTTTTCTCTTGATGAAAATATGTAGATGATAAAGCCTTACCATAACTCTTAAGATAATGCATGATAGCATTGTTTTGTAACCTGACACATTAGAAGTTCAGCTGGTAATGCTTAAGATGGAAGCTGTAAAATTCAGAAACTAGGACACATTTGTACAGCTAGTTGTACTCCAAGGTAAACGTTAAATGATTTTGGCCAATCAAATAAATTTTATTTAATAATAAAATATATATCTTGGTGCTGATATCCTAGAAAACATTCAGAAACTGATGTGGATATGCACTCAATAAGTTTGAGGAAATTTGGGAAATTCTGAAACTCGTAACTAATCCATGTCACAAAAATTATAATTTTTTGTTTGATGGGGAAGTTTCCCGACCAAAATTTGTAAGGAGAGTTGGTGATATTGAGAATGGAATGAAATACTGAAAGAAATTCACAAGAACGTCATCGAGGAAACTAAGATTTGTGTGGTTCAAAGATTGCACTCCAACAGAAAACCACAAAGGTTCCACTGTAATATTAACAGAGAATATGCCCTTAAATAGAAGGTTAACGCTGTCATGAAGAAAAAAATTCAAGTTGATCCCCAAAATATTCCATAGAATATACGCTATAATATTTTTAAGAATTGGGTCTTCAATCCCGACAACGCCTGACCAGTTCAACGAGAAAAGTAGGAATGGATCGTCATTAGGGACTAAATTAATGAAAAGGAACATCTCCATTATCCTCCAATAAGTGATTCCAAGAAACAGATCTTCATTAAAAGAAACCCAAAAAGAGCTTTTAGAAAAACAATTGAACAAATGGTTTCGGCAGATGTTTTTCTAACTAGTTATTGTAAACCTTTAAACAGGAAATTCATTGAACCAAAGAAATTAGAGCAGAAAAATACTTTACATGACAAATTTCTAGATTGCGTGAGATGAGATATCATGATTAAGAATCAAAACCTTGAGGCGAGCTAGTAACTGAATCTTTGTGTATCCCATTCTCTTTGGTTCTTCGATGAGCCTGCATTCAAAATTATGAATAGAAAATGAAGCTCAGATCACATTCCTGAATTCCATTTTTCTTCTTTTTCTCCTTTTTTCTTATATTTTTCTCTTTCCTTTTTGTTATTGAGGTGGGAAGAAAGGGGAGTTAAGTCCAAATGGTGTTAAACTGATTCAATTGGCTGAGTGTAACATATAAAGAGTAGATATACAACCTCAAGCAGAATAAAGAACTACTTAAAGTTGCAAAATTTGAGAACATTCAACGTCAAGTTTACATTCATGATTCAACTATGAAACTTCTTAGTTTATAATTTGTGATCTATACAAGTTTTACATTTCAAAACATAAATGAGAATTGAGAAGTACAGTTCTTGTAACATCGTTGTTGTTTCGTGGAATGAAATAAAAGATTGATAACATGAGTTAGCCATTCAGAGCCTGGACATATTTGAATTATCATTTTTTTCTTCCCTGTATGGTAAATTATTCATGGAAGAGTCATGAACTCTTGATTCAAACAAAAAACAGTAGTTGCTCAAAGCCTAGTGGCCCAAAGAGTCATGCAAAAATGAGAAGGGAGATGCATGGTAGATTTCTCGGGAACATTGCAGACTACTAAAGGCATCTACTAGAGCCTTGGAAAAGAAAACCATTGATGTCAAGCATAAATAAAATGGTGATGTAATTAAAATTTTTGGGAGTGACCGAACATATAGGAGAAGAGACAACAAGCCTTATCAGGGATCGTAATAGAACATTACAGGTCAAGAATATAACAAAAACATGACAACCGGAAGCCAAAGACTACGGGACATTTGGAATCACCTTTTTTTTCTATCTTTGTTTTTATTTTGTTTTGTTTATGTTTTGATTTGAAATAAAACATGCTTGACATATTTGATTAAAGTATGATAGTTTTTACAAACATTCAAACGAAATCAAATCTGTTTTGGGTGTTTCAAAAATATGTTAACTTGTTTTTTGAAAATAAAAAAATAAATACATATAAAAAACACACTAAACCAATATTTAAAAAAGTAAAAAAAAAAAAATGCATCCCAAACAAGCCCTACAATTGCACTGTTTAATTTCTTCAAACAACAATTAGAAGGCTATTTGCAGCAAGTTAGAGATTTGGAGGACCTGGGGGAGTAGAATACCACATATAACTCCTAAAGTGTTTCACTAAGAAAGAAGTCACTCAAAATTCTCTTTCATTATTGATATACTGTTGATGACAGGTTTGAATATACAAAGTAAAGCTAAAACAAAATAAGTTCTCGGCTGCAATACACATGCTACCTGCATATTAAGGATGCTAGAAAGAAAAAGTTTCTTCTCAAATAAGAAGAATGTGCAAAATAAGGGGAAAAAATATTTAGGGAAATTAACATACACAGCACACAATTCTAGTGTATTTATATATCTCACACCTAAAGTTTCATATTCACATATATAGCATTTTGGTGTTTTAAACCTATCATGAAAATGTGTATTTAACTTTTAAAAAGATGACCCTGAATAAACCTAAAGTGCTGGTTCCTTAAGGATACATTAATCATGAATTTAGATGAGTTCTCGCACATTTGTTCTTCCTCTACTGCAGAAATACAACATTGATATAACCAAATAGACAAGGATAGAATGATAAGAGATAATAAAAATCTTGCCTTTATCATGTAATAAGGAGCACAGGGTGCGCACCAAATGAAAGCATAATTTCAATGATGATTTCTCATCTACATTACTCGTTGCTAATGACACGAGATTGATTGAGTTCGGGCCAAAATTTAACCTTCTCTGATTCTTAATTTCTTTTTATCACAGTTTTCGATGATTTTTCTCAGCCCTAACGCCAAAGTTGAATGTGCAATCCTTTACCTCATATTAAGCTTCTAATCTAGATCAAGAACTTTCCTAAAAAAGTTTTTTTTAGACAAAAAAAGGATTTTTAGAGAAGTTACAATAAGAGTGATAAAGAAAAGGAAAGGTATGACCAGGTATTGGAGCTTGAGGAGCAGACGAAAGGAAGGTAGTGTACCTGATAAGTATGAACAGATGAATCGGTGAGCGACGTAGGTCACTTCTTGGGTCGGTGTGCTGGTATTTCAATGGTGGTTTAAAGCTTAGGTTTTGTTTGGGAAGCCTTCAAGTTCAGTTCCATTTGAGTGATCTTTGATGTCTGGAAATTCTTTTGTGCTTTTAAAAAAGATTGGTGGAATGATGAAGCTACTTCCATGAAGGATTAGAAAAACAACTTTTAAAAGAACTGTGGTAAAAATTATGAATATTTACAAAAAATATATAATAATTTTTCTGATAATCATTACACTGACATTTTTTTTTTTTGCAAAAAATAACTTCTAATTGCAAAATGAATCAGGAAAAAAAACTTCTAAATGATGGCGGACTTATACACAGTGTAAAAAGACTCCTAACATGGAGCATCGAAGATGCAGCTTGGGTTTTCTTTTTAAAAATGATTTACATATGATGTGTTATCAAGAAATTTTCATCATCATATGTGACTCTTGGTGCATTTTGAGCATGAAACATTCCAAATTTAAATTTAAAATCGCTCGAGCCTCGATTGCAATAATTTTATAGTTAAACTGAGCGTATCGACAAGAAAAACTCAGTGACATTAAAATTTATTTAATCTAAGTTCGAGTAAGTCTAGATCAATCAATTGAATTGTATTTAAAAATTTTAGAACACTTGTTGGAAGGTCAGATATATGAACATTTAAAATGTTTATAGTCAGATCGAGTAGCTTGGCGAAAGAAATCTAATGAGCTTAATTTAATTGTGGTGTCGTTAAGACACTTAAATACTGCAAAAATAACATGTGATTAATAAAATTAATGTGCACCATGTTATTTAGTGTTTTGATATTCTTTATGCTTTTACTAAAATGTTCATCTCAAAAACTATAAATAGACCTCTATGCTTCGTATTAATGGGAGAGGAGAAAAAAGAGTAAGTTGACTAGAAAAGTTTAACTCTTAAAGTACTTATAATTGTCGTCGCTCACCGATGATTGTGCCTGAGCACCATAGTTAAACTTCAAGGCACTAAAAATATTAAAATACTTTTATGATTAATGAAGATAGATATGAGTCATTTAATAGGGTGTTTGGGGGAAGTTATTTTAATGAGGAAGAAGAAAATTTTCAGAGTTTATTATGTTATGAAGCCCCGATAATAACTTTTGATATCTGTAGTTGTCAACCACTACTAACCATCATTGCTTACTGTTGTTGACCACTTATTTTCTGTGGTTTCAATTTGCACATGACATATCTCAATAAAGTTGCAACATATAAACGTTTATATTAAATACTTGATGATAATTTATGGTCTTCATGACCGTCCATCACTTTCAATCGTCGTCTGCATGTCACATCCAATCACCACCAATCATCACTATTTGCAATCACCGACCTCCGATCGCTGATGAATACTGCCCATGATCATCGTGGCTAGAATACGGTTGTTATTCATAACAACTATACTTTTCTTATGTTGAATAAGTACAAGAGCAGTGTTTGGTGTAAAATTGTAACCATATTTTACCTTATATATGGGGTTCATTCACCGACTACATCCTATGTGACCAACTATAGTTGTTAAAACTTTTTAATATAATCTCTATGGCCAACCATCGCTATTACATTCACCAATTATGGCTTCTATGGTACCCTAGTGTAGTTTCCGAGCACGACCTTTGTGACCAACTTCTACATGCACCTCAACCAATTACAACATTTACGACAACCTGCTAATGTTACAAATTTAAAATATGACATATGTGGCAGACTAACGTTATTGTAGCCATCGACTGCGATTTTTGTGTCTAATTGATGATATTGTAGTCACCAACTACAACATTTGTGGCAAATTAATAATATTGCGGTCATCAAATAATACATTCATGACCAATTAACGATATTGGTGTCACTAATTATGACATATATGACCAGTTGACAATATGACAATCACTAACTACAACTTATGTGACCAATTAATGTTATTACAATGTTCAACTATGACTAACGTGCCCAAATAATGGTATTGCAATCATCAATTGCGGCTTTTGTGGCAAACTAACGATGTTGTAGTTTCCAACCATGACCTTTGTGACTAACTACTGTTAGTATAACAAACAATTATGATTTTTGTTGCCACCACTACTGTTGCAGTCTATAATTTTGACATATGTAACTAACTATATATATTGCAGCCACCGACTATAACCTCATGATAAAATATTATATTTTTAACAACCAACTATCACTCTTAAGACAAATCATTGCTATTATAAATATGAACTATATTTTTTGTAACTCAGTTATGATTATTATGTCTAAACTACTGCTGTACGTCTATGATAATCGTCATTGTAATTACATCATCTCTAATTTAGAAGAACAATAAATCTTTGTACTTGCAATTATATGGTGAATTACTTTTAACTTTACAATATTGCGTTATTTTTCCATTTTCATGATTTTTTCACGTAAAAGTTCAAGTGTCTGCTCCTCCTATTTTTCATTTATTTGTGTGTGATAGATTTATGTAAAACAATAAGACGTTAAAATACACTTTACCGCTATAAATCTTCCGACATGCAACAAACTTCAATGATGACTTGGATAAGTAAATATTATGTTTTGGAGTATAAATCTACTTAAAATAGCCATTTATGTATAGTAAATGGAATTGAAGTAACAATAATAATATCTGTAATAAAAAAGACATAAGGATGAGCATCTTCCATTTCGGCTCAAGAGTGATATACCCCATTTCAAATCAACATAACAACAAGAAAGAGAGCCTAACAATGAGGGATGCAAAGGAGAGGAGAGTGGGAGACCAAGGGACCTTGCATGTCATAGTCGTCCAATGATGAAGAAAAGAAGTCACATATTTTGGGCATGAGAGGCTTTGAAGTTCACGTAGTCGAAGGAAGAGGCGACACTGTGACATATTATTTGCATGTCAGACCCATCTCATTACACTCGAATCAATGTTTGTCGATTTAAGCCAACCCAACGCAATCGAAGTACTAAGAGTCTCATTCTCGTTCTAGGGCTAAGGGGTCTATTCGCTTGTTGGGCACCGACACTTCCTCTTGAGGATATTACTCTCTTTCTTGAAGTAATGCCTCTCATATGACATCCATCATTTGATCATTCAGGTCCCAAATCTGTTTGCCCACGAACTCTTTTATTCACTCCATATTAGTGGTGTCTCAATTATGAGTTTTTTCTCCTTGTGTTGTTCTTATTCTTGTATTTGATATGATCAATGCTCACCATATCTTTTAAGATGTTGAAATCTAATTTATCCATGAATCACACCACCAGAACACCATCAATATACACCTTCTATGCACATATCTCATCAACAATATATATTTTTTTTTTTCCAACTAGAGGCCGTCATCTCATCCTTAGTATTAACAGAGTGTTACAAGCTTAAACCCATGGCCAACCAAGCCAATCAGACCCATTTACTCCCAACCTAACAGGACTAGATGAACTGACGTCGAAACTATATAAACGGCCACAAAAACCCTAGGAGCCGCCGACCACCTTTTTTCCTTTGCCTCTTGCCGCACTTCCTCGCTCGCAGGTACTTTAAACCGATAAATTGCATTTTCTACTCTTTTCGCATTCATCAATCAATTTAGAGTAATTTGATTCCCGCGAACTTGTGTTTTGGCTTCCTCGATCTGTTTTTGAGTTCGATATGAGATTTGTTTAATGCTTCACGGCCTTGATGTGGAGCATTTTGATGATTTTCGTAGAAATCAACAGGCTATAATAAGGAAATAATTAACGAATTTCTTATAGGATTTTGCATTTTCATGATCTTTAGCTGTTTAGCAGGTAGGTTTCGCTTACTTCGTATATCTCTAATGCTTGGATCTGCTTATTTCATCGTTCTTTCTCGTGGAGTCTCAAAGTGTTTGTATTCATATAGGTTACTCTGATTGACTTGCACAGCTGATCAAAATGTTTACCGCGAGGAAGAAAATTCATAAGGAACATGATGCTGAGCCCAGTGAGTTTGAGGAGAGCGTTGCACAGGTTAGTCTGGTGTAATTATCTTGCAATGGAAATTCACGGTGCTTGGGTTTTATTTCCAGAATTTAATCCCTTTTTTCAATCATTAGGCCTTATTTGATTTGGAGAACACAAACCAGGAGCTGAAGAGTGATTTGAAGGATCTTTTCATAAATTCAGCTGTGTAAGCTGCTGTATTATCCCTTCTGAGCATTTTTTTCTATCACGAGCAATTCATTATATTTTCCTTTAAACTTCTGACTTGGGTTTATTGTTGCAGTCAGATTGATGTTTCTGGAAACCGCAAGTCTGTTGTTATTCATGTTCCTTACAGAATCAGGAAAGCCTTCCGCAAGATTCATGTGCGTCTTGTGAGGGAATTGGAGAAGAAGTTCAGTGGAAAGGTAAGGTCTTCTACTACTTATTATTCACTCTTTTATGCGTTCTGACCAATACATGGAGAATTGGAAATAGTGTAAATGTCTTTCTTCTTCCAAATTCAAACCTAATTTTGTTTCTTACTAGCTGTAATGGATGCCATGCCACCCGGGCCGTGACTTGCAACAGGTTAGGAAGGATGAAGGATAACTCTTTAGAAGTGTTTTATGTTCTGGATGTAGTGTTAAAAGTGCTCTTTCTGACTCTACGCATTCACTTAAAAGTATCCATTGGTGTTTTTGAAATGCTTCATTTAAAAATTGGAAGCTTTACATACATACCACCCAATTCTCATGTATTTACATATCTAACACCTAAACTTCAATCTTTACCGAGCCTTTCCTATCTATGAAAAGGCGTGTTTCACTTTTTAAAAGGTAAAATAGTGGTAATTTTGATGTAATATAGAAGATTTGGGTGGTATAAATGCAAAAAATAAAGTTTAGGTGTTAGATATGTAAAAAGATAAGAAAAGGCAGTATGAATGTAAATGCTCTTAGAAAATTAAGCAATGTGAAGTTTGTGAGTATATTCTTTGACAATACTAGCACAGGTACCATGATGCTATCGAAGTAAGCTGGCCCATTAGATTTCTAGGCTTTATATTCTAATTTATTTTTTCGAACTGTCCATTGAAAGTTAACTGCTTTCTTGAAGTTGAATTATGAAAATTCATTCAACATGCCATTATTAACTCGCTCAGTTTCTTTCTTTTTTCACGCATTTGCATATTAAAAATATAACTGTCTATGTTTGAAAAAACGCTTACTCTAAATGCTTAGTAGTGGTTCTCATTATCTTGCTCTTAGTCTAACTCTAGAGCTATAAAATTTGAAAGGAACAATCCACTTGAACTCATGTACAGCTTGTTAGAAGTTTGAAATGAAAAGTATTGAGAATTTGTTAAAAATTAGCTTCGGTTTTATTCAAATGACATACGTTGTGCATGTAAAGCTTTTAGTTCCATTTAGCTTATTTGGTAAACATCGATCCATTATACTAATATATTGCATTATTCAATCATATAGTAGTCGCATCATCATTATTCAATTTAATATTCTAACTTGAAGGCCACATGAAGATTGAATTGATTTTTTACTTGGATAGCCAGACAAGTTGATCTACGAGTCCAATTTTTTACTTTATTGGATTTTTTAGCTTATTTCAATCTAGGCCTTGATCTGAAAGTGTTGAATTAGGATCAAATTTAAATATAAATGCTATTCTTTGTTATTAGATTATATATACGTATATGTGCATTTAAGTGTTATTAAAGTGCAATGCGATACACACGATTTTGTTTATTGCTTCAGAGCGCATAGTGAAGTGACACATTTATTAACTAAAGCACTGATATGTTTTATAAGATTATTAGTGTATAAATACATTCAAATTAATATATAAAATACAAAACATTTATTATATCACCTAAAATTGATATAAAATATAAAAAATGTGGTACAATACTTAATTTAAAGACAAACATTTAGAGTGAATCTGCAAATTAAAATTTTGAATAATTTATAACAGTTTGTTGAAATAATTAAAAATTGAAAACTGACAAAATAAATCTTAATAACTCAATAAAATTTTAATTTTAAAACATAAATAAACTAATAAAGTCTTAAATTTTATAAAATAAGTTAAAATGTAAGTCAGTATTTATCGTGATCTCTTTTATTCACATGTTCTTTTTCTTCTTCAGGTAGAATTATTTCATCTTCAATTTTTTATTCTCCTTTCTCCTTTTTTCATTTCACTCTTTTGAATAAACTTCATTTTTTATTTATGGCATAAGAGCAGATAAATTGAGATGAACTCGTCATCATTGTTGATAAAACACTTTTTTTTTTGCACGGCTAAATCTTATAGATCATCATTGATCAATTCCTCTTTAAGGGTCTGTTTGGGGCAGCTGATAAGCTGCTGATAAACAACTGATCTGGATAAACTGTCTGTCTGTTTGGTTTGTGTGTTGGGAAAACAACTGATTCTGGATAAATGATCATTCTGCCCCTGTTTTGGATAAGTTGTTTAGCTGTTTGGTTTGTGCGTTTTGTAAACAACCGATTTACAAATTTTTTTAGGTAAATGAATAATCTAACACACAGAAGTTGTAATGTTTTTAACAAAACTGCAATCTTTACCTCTTAGATATTTTAGAATCAATTAAACCTCTTCAGACTCATTCGACACATACAGACCATAAAAAAATTGTTATTTACCAAACTTCTTAATGCAATCATATAGGGGAGATAAAACTAAAGATTCATGAATTCATGGAAGTAAAATTTACTCATTTCCCAACAAATCTGTGTGAGCTGCTTTATGAATCCTTCTTAGCTTTATGAATCCTTCTTCCACAATAATTCTTCTTGAATGCCACAATAATGCTCTGTTTGTGTCTATCTTAAAATAACATATAACCAAAAATGGTTTTTGTTTTTTCCTGCAAAGATCCTTCCTATAAAGTTGCATTCATTTTGACTTTCTGCACTCTAACTTTACCAAATTCACGTGAATTCACAAATACACAACATAAGTTATTAGGGCAATATTTGCCACCCTCTGCACTCTGTAGTCGGTATGCTAGAGACACCCTTTTCTTCATTAAAACACGCCAAAAATAAAACTTCAAGAATTCAGGTTTTATGTAACCCCTAATCTTGTGTATTCATAAAACTAAACCTTTATACATCTATAGGTCAAAATTTATACAAAACACCCAAACAATTCTATATCAGAGCCGGTACAAATTAAAATTAATAATATTTAAAAAAAATTGTAGAAAATGAAACAAAAAGTGCCCAAGAAAACCATTTCAACGAGACATATTTCAATCAAACACAAATAATTGATATTTACAATGCAATTATTTTCAACTGCATTTGGTGAATTCAAATTTATATAAACACAGAGAAGATAACTTATAAGGCGTTGAGAATTTGATGTTCCATTCAGCCACATGAGCTCCATTAGGAGGGAAAAACTCATTTTTTTTTCAAACTGGGTGACATAATATAATATAAAGAGAAAATCAACTGTAGAAAACATGAGTGGAAGGAAGCAGCTTAGGGTTATGAAAAAAAAGGGAGAAGATGCTGAAGGAGCCGGAGAAGCGTTACCTCGGGGAGATCACCGAAGAAGCCGAAGAGCCTTGAGCGCGGCCAGAAAATGGAGAAGAAATGAAAAAAAAATTGGAAGATGCATTACCTCTGGGAGATCGTCGAAGAAGGCCGAAGCAGCTTAGAGCAGAAATGCGGAAGGGCAAAGAAGTAATCCGGAAACAAGGAACGCCGCCCGCGGGGTTCATCCTGCGGGCGACGGTAATGAAGAAAATAAGAACGACGTTTTCAAATCGCACCCAACACGCGACAAGCAATTGGAGGGGGCGGTGTTTTCAAAACGCCGCTTGAGGAAATAAGCTGAAACAAACGGACCAAGTCTTCTTAAAGTAAGATACTCATCATTAAATTATTGGTCACTGACATCTTTCATTTATCCAATTAATCACTCACAACTTTCATCAATCGAATTCAAACTGATCAGATTTATAATATCTCTCAAATTAATTTTATTAAAACTTGATTGTACTTGTTGAAATACTAAATTATTTAAGCATTTTTTTATCCAACCAATTTATTTTTTTCATATGAATCTATAAAAGTAATTATAATTAAATAAACACAAAATATATAAAATATGTTTAAAATTTATAAATTACTAACCTGTTCTATGAAACTCCAGTGTTTCTCACAATCAACAATAATATAAGTCAATCTTAATATTTTAACAACTATTTTTTTTTCAAACTCTGTGTTGATGCATTATACATCTTTCACCACAATGCTGCTATAATCATAATGTCATGCTTAAAATATTAAATTAAAAATTGAAAAGAAAGTTGGAATTTAATTATACTTGGAACTTTCTTATCTCTGATGTGAATTTTATGCTTAGTTGCAAAAATCAACAGTATGATTAGAAATAAAAAAATTCTTGATTTATTATTATTCTATCATTTGGATCTTCTATTAACTTGTTAATAACCAAATATATGTTTTTTATTAATTGTGCATCTGATTGTATCTTGGACTCATTTTTATAAAAAAATTTGAATTAAAATAATATCCAACTTGTTGCAATGATTGTCGAAATCGACACATTTATCTATCATCAATAAAATAAAAGATTTCCCCGTACTTATTTTCTCTCTAAATGCACCACCAAATACATTCTTGACTTTGTTAGTTGCATCATAAATATAATCCATTAGAGGTCACTTGTCATCATCTATTAATTTTAACATCTTAATAATTAGGCTTGTAATCTTTGAAATGTAAGATACACCATTTCAAAAGCTAGTTTTAAAGATTATCTTCTTAGTTTTTTTTTTAATCAATACTAAATATGAACTTATTATAATTTTATGAAATAAGTATACACCTTAAATTTTCATTTTTTACTTTTATATGCTGGCAATAATGATAAATAAAATTAAAAAACAAGTGATGTATGGTCTCACTAATTCTTCACCATTAGTATATTTCCTTATCGTGCTATGATTGTATAAGTAGCTAGGTAACTCAAGTCTTTTTGATTGTATTTTTCACTTAACTAATTTTTTCAATATCTTGAAATATAAGATTAATATAATGTGATGCATGTGGTATCCGATACATGTGCATTATTTTTTCATTAATATTTGACATTCATAAATAAAAAAATTACGTTGACATTCTTTAATTCTAAAAAAAAGTAAAATATATATACATTTAATAGAAAATAAAATAAATTACAGACTGAAAACTATAGCTGAAGTGATTGTTTATAATCATTTGGCAATATTTAATTTTTTCAATTTGTGCACTAAGAGTTCAAAGAACTTCATTGTAATTGTTAAATATTTAGATGTTTTTATAAGAATATAATGTCTGAATGTGAATTAATAAAAAAAGTAATTATA